TTGCACAGACGTCTTCTGAGTCACTTGGCTCCTGATTGATTAGCGTGTCATTACCCTCCACCTCTGGCCCACGGCAAAGTCTTACTGACACTTGGTGGTGGCAGAACTGGGGAGCTAGAGAAGTATGTGTGTGTGGGTGTGGGTGTGTGTGGGTGTCTCTTAAATTCCCTTCCTTTCTGGACATCCTGCAAACTTGAGTTATGTGATGTGACTCCCTGGTTCAGCCTCTACGTTTCATAGAGCTTTATGACTATGAGACTCTCTGAAAGATTTATTGCTCTGTTCCCTCAGATCTTAAGTGAAAAAGTATGTAACGCTAAGCGGTTTTAACTCAACAATCAGTTGAGAGTTGGAGAAACAATTCATTCCTTTACCCAGCATGCTTATGTGTCAAGCCTTCAGAATATTAGAGGTAGAAAAGTCCACCTCGTCCTGTTCAGTTCTATGGAAGAAGATACTGAGACTTGAGATGGGAAGGAGGAACTTGCTCATAGTCACACAGCAAATTGGTATCATAGTATGGTATCATGGTATCAGGAAGAGAATCTAAATTCCTTGTCTTTCAAGTGGAGCTCTTTCCACTGTATTATATTATCTCCCCCTTGCCATCATTTATTTATTATTATTATTATTATTTTTGTATTCCATGCTTTAGGGTTATAGTTATTTTTAGATCTTTTTGTTCACGAAAAAGTGAGGGACTGACTTGTAGCTTTCTTTGGCCAATCTCTTCATTGAAAGTGAAAATACTGTTTTCTGCTTTGGTCCCACATTCCTTCCTGTCAATTTTTGTTGGCCTTGCTAGCTCAATGTACTTCTGTGGCCAAGAAAACATGTTTTCAGGAAACAGACTACAATTCGGTCATTCAGCAAGTTTTAATTGAGAATCTAGTATATGCACAGTGGATACTCACTACAGTGGATACGGAAAAATAGGAACTGTTCCCTGCCCTCAAGAAGCTTACACTTGGGGAGACAAGACAGATGTACAAAGGCATAAATAATATCAGAGAATATAATAATAAGCCAGATATCTAATAATACCAAAGAATATATTTTTGCTTTTTGATATCCTGTCTAGCCTATAAACACCATTTCAAATGCCGCCTTTCCTGCAAAACCTTCCCTGATTCCTGGACTCCACAAGATTTGGCTACTGATGGCACATGTGGAAAGAATGAAAGTGAGGAGTTAAGGGATGCCACTGAGGTTGTGAATGGGAGGGACAGGAACACTGGTATTCCTTTGACAGAAATGGAGAGATCGAGAAGAGGAGTGAGGTTTGGGAGAATGATTGCTGGTTTGGACATGTGGAGCTTGTGATGCCTCTAGGAAACTCAACTGAGAATGTCCAATAGGGAGAAGATGGTACAGGAACTAGAGTTCAGGAGAAAGACTAAGGCTACATATATTAGTCTGGGAGTCATTGGCATACAGAAGATAATGAAACCCATTGGAGTTAATGAGGTCACCAAGAAGGAATGTAGAAAGGGAAGAGGGCCCAGCACAGGGGCCCTCTGTGGGGATATACCCACAATTAGGGGCCATGAGACTGAGAACAACAAGAGAGCTTTTCATAAAGCCGGGGAAGAAAGGATGCTTCACAGAGTCAGATGCAACAGAGAGCTCAAGAATGGTGAGAATTAAGAAAACACCATGGGATCTGTCAAAGAGATCATTGCTAACTTTGGGGAGAGCAGATTACAGAGGACTGAGGGGTAAGTGAGAAGGTAGAAAGTAGAGGTAATGATTATCTACAGCTTTTTCTGGAAGTTGGACTGAGAAGGGGAAGAATGATATAGGAGGATACTGTGAAGATTTTTAAACCCAGCATAGGCTGGTCTATGTTTGTAGGCAGACAGGAAGGAGTTGATAGATAGAGATTGAATATTGGGTATGAGCGGGTTGAATTTGGTGATGGTAGCCCTGAAGAATTTGAATCAAGAAATATAGAGCACTTTCCAATATTTCTATGTTTGTATTCTAATTTATATTAAATATATTGACATATGCATAAAACTGAACAGTATAATGGAAAATTGCTGCACCTGGGGTTGAGAGACCAAGGCTTGAATATGGGCTCTGCTACTTAGAACCATCTCTCGACCTCAGTGCCTTTATTCATATAAAGGTATTGGGCTAGATTGTATCTAAGATTCCTTTTAACTCCAAATCTATGTTCTTATATCTTATAATGAAAGCAAGTATTTGCATAGTATTTTAAGGTGTGTAGAGTTCTTTACAGATGATATCTCATTTGTCTTTTCATCCTAATAATACTGAAAGATCTTTGCGAGTTTGCTTTGCTTATTGAGTTACCACCTTCCCACCCCCTGCCCCAGCAAGTAGCTCAGGGCAGTGCTCATCATGGTGATTAACGCAAGAGAAATCATGAACAAATATTGAATAGAACTGCTATGGTAGTTGGATTTCTTGATGGATTTAAGCATATTGACATTGACCTGAAGAGGAGAGTGTGCAGAAATTTGATGTGGAATTGTAGAATGCTTGAATGAGATGGAACGTCAAAGTTCAGTAAGTCAATAGTTAGTCAACTAGCATGTCTTAATTGCTTATTATGTGCCATATCCCATGCTAAATACTGGGGATACAAATAAAAGCATTCTCATGGTAGAAGACAACATATGAAAAGAATCTGGAAAAAAGGTACCCATTTAGGGGTGTGGTGGAGAAGTGCAGAGACTTAGAAACCAAACAAGGACAAGTATGAAGAATGGCCATCCTGGGCCCATCCCACCAATGGGAGAAGTGAGCCACAGAGGCAAGAGGGATTGATATCCCAGAGGCCACAGGCCCTGAGGGAGGTTCTAGGATGAAAAGGTGGTTGAGGCGTGGTGATGAGTCTGGTTTAGCCTGTACTTGAACAAGAGACTCCTCTTTAGCATCTCTGCCAAGTACATTTGCTCTTGTGACTCAGATCCTGCTCAGTTCCTGAAATATTCTGGCTTTTCTAACTGATTTTTAGAAGAGTCACTTTACCACCTGGCCTTTACTGGGTCCTCTCTGTTCCCTATTTGAAAATGAGGGGGTTGGACTAGCAATAATCTTAATGGACATATTTATACAAACTGTCACTGTACACTGTCTCATCTGATCCCATAACAAGCCCTTTAGATGGGTACTCCAAGTAGGATTTGTCCCTTTTAATTGATGAGGAAACTGAGCCTCAAGAGGAAATACATAGCAAGTAAGTACCAGAGTTGGGATTCAAACCCGGGTCTTTCCTGGTTCCAAGCCACGTTCTTTCTTGTACACCACACTGCCTCCTAAGACTAGTTGATGTCTAAGGTCCCTTTCAGTTCTCAAATTCTGCTGCATTTTCCTCAGGGAAAATATGTTCATGATGGTGTCCGTGCCACTGGTTGGTAAGAGGAGAATTGGATGCTGAGTTTCTAAAACTGTGCTTTGTTGTTGTTGGTCAGCCATTTCAGCTGTATTCTACTCTTTGTGACCCAGGTTTTCTTGGCAAGCTTTGTTCTTTTTGTTGTTACTCAGTTTTTTCAGTCATGTCTGACTCTTTGTGACCCCATTTGGGGTTTTCTTGGTAAAGATGCTGGAGTGGTTTGCCATTTCCTTCTCTAGTTCATTTTATAGATGAGGAAACTGAGGCAAACAGGGTTAAGTGACTTGCCCAGCATTACATAGTATGTGTCTAAGGCTGGATTTGAACTCAGGTCTTCCTGACTCAAGGCCAGGCATTCCTTTCACTGCACCTTCTAGTTGCCTGAAACTGTACTTAGTGGTTCCTGAAAACTGCACGACAAGCCAGCCTCTCTTGTCTTCTTCAAAATGGAAATTTAATGCCAAGGAACTGACATCTGATGCTTTGGAGTCATAATTCCATCTGTTGACAGGTGTCCTTGAGGTGAATCAGGGCTATGTGAGCTTGGTGCTTTTTTTTTTTTTTGCCTGAACTAGTTTCTGTAGAGTAGTGCATTGGTGTCAAGGGTACATATTTTAAAGTCTTATTCAATTTGAACAAGTTGCTATGAGAAGAGTCCTCTGCTAGATGCTGAGGTTGTTGTAGGACTTTGATGAGACACAGCCCCTCCAAGAGGGCTAAGTCTGCCAGGGGAAAAGGCCCAGACATAGACAGCTGTGATTCACAATAACATTTTGAACACAGTAGAGAAGTACAAGGTGTCATCATGTAGCAGAAGGGATCGGGCACTGGACTTGGAGCCAGCTGGGCTCCGACCCTGCTTCAGACACTTATTAGTTCTGTGACTCTGGGTGAGTCACTTCATCTCTCTGTGCCTCAGTTTCTTCATCTTTAGGGTGAGTGGGTTGCACTCGGGGTCCCTTCTGGGTTTAAGTCTGTGTATTCCTATGATCTGAAGAGGAAGGTCATTATTGGTAACCTCAGGGAAGGCTTCTTGGAGGAAATGACATTTGATTTGGGATTTAAAGAACAGATAAGATTTCAGAGGAAAAAGAGGAGGGAAGATGGACATTCCAGACATAAGAAACAATAGAAGCAAAGACAGAAAGGCACAGGCCTGTTTAAAGACATCTAATAGTCTAGGGGAGCAGGAGTGTAAAGAGTATGTGAGGCAAGGATATTAGATTGGGGGAGAAGGTGGCACAGGCAATTACTAAGAACTTAATATGTGCTAGGCACTGTGCCTAGTGCTTTACAGATATCATCTTATTTGATCAGGTGAGGTTTCCAAATTGTGGTGGGTTTTGAATGTCAATCTTGTCCTAGATAAATCAGGTAATTGTAGCTTAGGATGTGCTTGGGAAGAAAAATCTCATTTATATTTTAAGATTTCCAAGTTAAGGGACAGCTAGGTAGCTCAGTGGATAGAGCACTGGCCCTGGAGTCAGGGGGACCTGAGTTTAAATCCGGCCTCAGACATTTACTAGTAGTGTGACCCTGGGCAAGTCATTTAACCCCAGTTGTCTCAAAAACACAGACAAACAAACAAAAAACAAGATTTCCATGTTAACAGGTTGGCCTTTCTTTTCTTTTTCAGCAATGGAGGAGTTAATTGTTGAGCTGCGCCTGTTCCTTGAGCTGCTGGACCATGAGTACCTAACATCAACAGTTAGAGAGAAAAAGGCAGTGATAACCAACATTCTCCTGAGGATACAGTCGTCAAAAGGTGAGTGTCAATAGCTGTTCAAGGTTATATCCCCATGGAGAGTAATTAAGGAATTGAAACAAGAGACACCTAAATCCCATGCACTATTTGAGACATGCCTATTGGCAGATTCAAATTATACCCTAACAATGTACGCTCTGTAGTTGGTAATGGTCTCTTACTCTTCTGCTCTCATAGCCTTTGTGCACTCCTTATGCATTTATTATAATTTCTATCATAGTATCTGGGTATATCTCATCAATTCTAGCAGGTTGTATGTATGGTCTTTGAGAGGCTGGTCCAGTGCGTGGCACATAGTAGGTCCTTATAAAATGCTTAATGATTGTATGGTACAGTGGAGAGATTTGGAACAAGAGGACCTGGGTTCTAATACTGGCTCTGCCACTTACTAGCTTTGTGAACATATTATTTAAGATTTCTAGAACTTAGTTTCCTCCTCTATAAAATGAAGGGATTGGATTAGCTGACCTCCCTATCAGCTACGAATCTGTGATGCTGTAACTATGTCTACTTTATTTAAAATATTTATATCTCTATAACTATCTTTCTTTCTTCCCCTCTATCTATCCATCTATCTGTCTTTACCTTCTGACAGCTTGGTATTAGTAGAAATAGGGCCACAGTCCTGGGCAAAATTATGAAGGAGGCAAAGTTTGTCTTCTTTTCCTCTAGCGTCCCTCCCTCACCCCTGTAGTAACTGGTCCATTCCTTAGACACTCAGGTCTTTTATGCTTTCCTCCTCTCAGTCTGACTAAAATATATTCAAGGAAAGGATCTGATCAACTCAACTATACTATTCAATTCACTAAGCCTTTCTTATGCTAAAGTGTTAGTGGCTAATAAGACTTAGCATGTTGCCCCCTCTCAGGCAAAGTTGCATTCTATATCCTTTGTGTGGGTGGAAAGAGCCTTGGATTTGTTATCTGATGGCCTCAGTTTTAATCCTGCTGTATCTTTCACTAGTTGTGTGACTTTGGGACAATAAATTTTAAAGTTATATAGATGTAAGATACTACCAACAACAGCATAAATGTTTATTAAGTGACTTTGATATAAAAAGCACTGTGCTAGGCATTAAAAGATGTAATATAATATTAATAGCATTTGAAGGTTTGAAAAATACTTTACGTATGTTATCTCATTTGAGACAAAGAGTTTAGGTAAGCCACATAGAAGCATGGTAGAGTGGAAAGAGCTCTGACCCCAGACTCAGAGGATGTGTGTTCAAATCCCACCTTTAACGCTTCTGTGGATGTCACTTAACCTTAACCTATTTTCTCAGCTCTGAAACGAGGGTGGCTAGAATAGCTAGATTGCCCATCGAGGCTCATGATCCTGGGGAACAGTTGGGATCACCAAAGAAGAGAATATAGAGGGAGAAGAGAAGAGAGGCCATGACATAACCTTGAAAGATACTCATGCTAAAGGGGAAGCAGATGATGAATCAACAAAAAGAGACCAAGGAGGAATGGTCAGGTAAGTAGGAGGAGATCCAGGAGAGAACAGGGTCATGGAATCTAAGACAGGAGAATGTCTAGGAGAAGCATATAATAAAAGAGATTAAAGTGAGATGGTGGCTGAGAAAAGGCTATTCATTGGATTTAGCCATTAAGAGACACTTGGTGACTTTGGAGAGACTTCTTTCAGTCCTTCACTAATTACTGTTGTCGAATGGGCCACACAACTGGTATGTGGTGGAGCTGGGTCTCAGACCCAAGTCTTCCCTTTCTACCACATACGCTCTCCTGCCCTAAAGAGAAGAGCCCCATTCCAGGGTTTTAGATGTACGAATTGATGTGGTTTTCTCTTAATCCTTACAGGCTTTGAAGTGAAAGACCATGTTCACAAACAAGAAGTTACCAGCAGTTTGCCTGCCCCGCCGCAGATGCCTCTGCCCGAGATCCCTCAGCAGTGGTTGGTGAGTTAAGACCCTGTAGCCGGGTGGCAGGAAACTGTCTGATCCTGCCCTTACTCTGAGTCTAGCTGAGGACATGAGGAATGAGGCGAGCGCGCAGTCCTGGGAATGCTGAGGCAATCGTTTGCCAGCTCCCACGTGGCCACTCCCAGTGGATAATTGGGAAAATCATATAGGAAATTAGCCTGCCTCGAGATGGCAGCTGCTTCTTTACAAAGTGACAGTGCTGTAAATACATTGTAATCCTGCTTTGATGATGGATTTTAAAGTAGCAGGGGAAAGAGGCTTTAGGGGCAGAATTCCTGAAAGGCCTCCAGAGGGACTGCGCTTCTTGCTGCCTTAGTCTGTGATTTTGAACACCTGGCTTTGAAATTTTCCAGTCCTGGTTTTTTTTTTTTTCCCATTTGAAACCCTTTTCAGTCATAGTCCTTTGTGTCTAACAGGGCTTCTTCACCTTTTCCGGGTCATGGACCCCCTGGCAATCTGGTGAAGCCTATGTACCCCTTCTCAGAATGTTTTTTATAAAATACAGAGGATCACAGAGGAAAGCAATTATACTAGATTGTTGCTATCAAAATATTAAAAAAACAAGAGTAAGTTCATGGACCCCATGTTAAAAGTCCAAGTGGGCAAATATACATTTACCCCAGAAATACATGTTGTGTGCAATTTTTTTAAGTTCAGGATTTTTAAGAGAGAGGAAAGAAGACTGCTCTTGGTCAGGATGTCAGGATTTGAGTCCCGACTTTGATACTTACAAGCTACATCATCTTAGGCTAGTCATTAAATGACTATATGCCTCAGTGTCCTTATCTATAAAATAGAGATGATGCTTCACTTCTCACTTCACAGTGTTATTGTAAGGGAAGAACTTTGTCAGTTTTGATGTGATATAGAAATAGTAGCTCTGTATTCCTTATTATTATTAAAAAGCTCCCATGTTTTTGAGGGCAGTTAGAAACAACCCCAAGGCAAGTTAATATCCTAATATTAATTGTTTATATTTAATATTCTACAGGCAAAATAACTCATATTTGTTATCATCATCATTATTTTTATTACTATTAAAATGCTTCAAGAGTCCACAATTTCTTTAAAATGGGTCCTTCTTATACCAATTCAAAGCACAGCCCCTATGTGCCTTAGTAACTCCACCCCCCAAATCAGTCCCTGGCAATCAACCCTCTTATGATGGACCTCTCTCAACTTAGCTAGCTGGTTCTTGGGTGACCATCATTAGGTTTTTCCTAGAAATTTTTTCAGTTTGTAAGGTCCTTCCATAGCTTAGATTCCTCTGATATACTCGTTGATGATCCAGGGTCACTTTCTTTCCATGATAACACTTCACCACTGGACTTGAATGGAGGGATATTGTTAATGTTGTTTTTATTTTAAAATGTAATAGGCTATAGTTGCATTTAGTGGTACCATGTTTTTTGAGGCATCTTAACAAGCTGAAATATATCGTAAGGTGGGTGGCCAGGCTGTTGAAAGGCCTCTAAACCATGTCATTGATTGGTTGAAAGAATTGAGGACATTTAGCTTGGAGAAGAAATTTCTGATGGGGGAATAAGAATGATAGCTATTTCAGCTATTTAAAGCCTTGTTTTATGGATGTAAGAAAAGACTTCTCTCCCCAAAGGGCAGAGCCAGCTAGCATTGACGGTAATAGCATGGAGGTTCCAAAGAAGCAGATTTGGCTCAAGATAAAGGGTCCTCCTTATAATTTGAGCTGTCTATTAGATGGAATGAGTAGTCTAAGGGATAGGGAATTCCCTGTGTTTCTCAGGTGGAGGTTTGATCATTCAAGAATATTACAGATATTCTTTGTAATACTAGGTGTGGTGGGTTGGATTAAAGATTAATTCCTAAGGACCTGTACAACTTTGAGATTCTACAGAAGTGCTTTACCCCTACTTTCTCATTTGATCATCACAGCACTTGTGTGAGAGAGATCATGCAAGGATCATTGTCTACATTTTTCAGTACAAGAAACTGAGGCCCAGAGAGTTAAAGTGATCAGCTCAGTATTTTTACTCAGCAGTGATTTTTCTACTTCATCATGTATTTTTTTTTGATTGCTGAAAATATCCACAGATCCAGTTATTAAATTTACTTTTCTTCGTGGGTTGAATCCTACCTAACCCTGCTATTTACTACTATCCTTGTGAACTTGAGCAAAATGCATATCTTCTTTGGGTGGTCTCAGTTTCCTCATATGTAAAATCAAAGGATTGGACTAGATGACTTGTAAAGGCACTTCCAATGCTAGTATTCTATGAACCAGTGATCTATGATTTAATCTCTCTGCTTGAACAATTTGCTTATTCAGGCACAAGAGACTTTCACCTCAAAATAAGAAAAAGTAGGTTGTAGAGTTTCAGTTTCTAGTACTGAATTCCAGTCTACCTGGTTAGCTGTCATTTATAGAAGAAAGCCTGGATAGAAAAAAAAAAACTGACGTGATAGTTCAGCCTTCCCTGGCTGAGTTTATACCCATCCTTTAATCAAATGTTAATTCTTTTGGAAACTTTTCCTAGTTCCCACAATCCTTTGAGTTAATCTAGAAAGACCTTCCCCCCCAAACCTCAGAGAGCACTTGCTTTACTTCTCACTTGCTTATTATTTGTATTGTTTGATACAAACAACAAAAAAATCCCAATATAAATAGGTTGGAGATACCAACTAAGGTTTTAATATGGACCAATTTATATTTATGTAGTACTTTAAAGTCTAGAAGTACTTTAAAGTTTGGAAAGTACTTTACATACCATATAATTTTATTCTCACAACTATCTTATAAAGTAAGGAGTTTAACTGACACTTATATAGCTATTTTTATATTTATACATTATATATATATGCAAGTACATAAATATGTATCATCTGAGTTTCATAACAATGCATAGTGTAATTCCCTTTTCATAGATGAGGAAACTGAGACTCTGAGAGGATCGTAGGTTTAGAACTGGAAAGCTTCTCAGAGGTCCTCTAATTCAACCCTGTCATTTTACAAATGAGGAAACAGACTCAGAGAAGTTGAATGGGTAAGTGTCAAAGGCAGAACAATTTTAACTTGCAAATTTAATTTTTAAAATTCTGAATTTAACAAACACCTACATACATTCCACATACAAAATAAAATAGAAAAGGAGATTTTTTGGAAATTGTGAATCTTTATTATATATAGCATGCTTTTAAAAAAATGTAATTAATTCCACATGTTAATTTCAAAGCTGTCCTCCTTGTCTGTTTCCTTTTGAACTTCTTTAGTTCTGGGGATTTAAAACATGTTTTCATGACTATATCTTCTTTTCTAATTTTGGCAACCTTATTCCTTGCTATTCTCTTAGTCCCACTAAGAAAAAGAAAAACTTAAAACAAATAAAACACAGTCAAGCAGAGCAAGTTCATGTCCAAAAATGCGTATCTCATTTTGTACCTCATTTTGAATCTCTCCATAAGGAGGTGGGTAGCTTCCTTCCTTTGGAGTTGTGGTTTTTTCATTTATCAGAGTTTTTAAGTCTTTCAGAGCTGTTTTTCTTTAAAGGGTTGCTGCTATTGTTAATGTATAAATTATTCTCCTGGTTCTGCTCAATTTATTCTGCATCAGTTCATGAAAGTTTTTTCAGATTTCTCTGAAACCCACTCCCCTTTTCATTTTTAATGTTTTTTGTTCCATTATATTCATATGCCATAATTTGTTGAGCCATTTCCAATTGGAGGGATACCCCTTTAGTTTATAGTTCTTTGCCACAACTAAAAATACTGGTATAAATAGGTTGGAGATGCCAGCTAAAGTTTTAACATCTGACCCAGTTGATGACTGACATTTACAAAGTGCTTTAAAGTTGGAAACACTATTCATACATGATCATTTCATCCTCTTAACAATCTTACGAAAGAGTACAAATAATATAATATTATCCTCAGAGAGGTTAAGCAATTTACCCACTGTCATACAGATTTGCTCATCATAACTAAGTTGGTTAAGTAATAGGTAGACTTCTCCTTCTGAAGTAGAATTTTCTGATTTGGAAATCTCAAGGTTGGATTCCCCCTCCCCCCCTTTTTATTTCAAAATAGCAACAATGTCCTTCTGTAACACATTATGAGACATTCTTTAGAAAGAGAAGCCAACTGATTATAACCAGCTTGTAAATGAAAATCCTGGTCAGGCCTTCTGTCTGCTGGGATAATAGTTCTGTTCAGAGCCTAGGACAAAGACTTTCTTGATATTTAATGCCTTGGGGAAGTTTTTGTACTTTTTATTTATCAACAAATGACAAACATTTATGAAATAACTGCTGTGTATAGAGCACTGTGCTAGGCATTTCTTGTCTCCATGGAGCTGAGAATCTGGTATGGGGATTAGACACCAAGAGAGAGCTCTAACACACACCATTGTGGACTAGGTACATCTGAGAGATGCAAAGCAAAGTGCTAGGAATCCTAGTATTGTTTGTGAATATTAATTGATTTTCTTTTGCATATAGGGAGTTCTTGTTTTGAATAGCCTCTCAGTATACGTTATTTGATTATAATATTCTCTTTCCTTTATGACAGAAAACTGATGCATAATATTTAAATTTGCAACAATAATAATAATTATCAGCTAACATATTTTTGTTATTGTTCAATTTTGTCCAACTCTACCTGATTTGGGGTTTTCTTGGCAGAGATACTGGAGTGGTTTGACATTTCTCCAGCTAATTTTACAGATGAGGAACCATGGCAAACAGGGTGAAATGACTTGCCCAGGGTCACATAGCACTTACTTTATGCCAGGCACTCTGCTAAGTGCTTTACAATGATTATCACATTTGATTCTCACAACAACCCTGGGAGGTAGGTATTATTATATCCCCATTTTACAGATGAAGAAACTGAGGTAAACAGGTTAAGTGACTTACCCAGGGTCACACAGCTAGTAAGTGCCTGAGGTTGGATTTGAATGCAAATTTTCCTGACTCCAGGCTTGACATACTATCCACAGTACCACA